AAAGAATCGAAGTAGTGGGAACTAACTTGGATTCGTTCTGTATGGAGTTGAGCTGCTCGAGCTTGGCGCGGTGCTCGGCCTCGACGGCGGCCACCATCTGTCGCACGAGCGCCGCCAGCGCGTTGAACTGGCTCAGCGTGAGGCCGTTCTCCACGCACAGCGGGATCAGGAAGGGCAGCACCTTCGTCGCCATCACCTCCTTCGTTATGCCCAGCTTCTTGTGACTCAGCGCCACCTTGTATATGCCTGACCGCGCGCACCGTTCCCACAAAACTATTTACTTGCAATTCAATATACAACATTCAAAATATAGAAATGGTGAGAGACATACCTAGGATCCCCATCAGAACCGCCGGCTCTCGAGAGGGTATCTGCGGCAGGAACGGAATGATCTCGTCCAACACCAACCATTTGTCCAAGTGCTCCAGCAGCTTCCCCAAACAGAGCAGGCAATTGACGCGCACCGAGATGTAGCCGGTGCTGATGCAGAGCTTCTTGATGCGGGGCAGCAGCGCGTTCTTCATGGCGGGGTAGTCGATGAGGGCGGCGAAGGTCGGCAGCACGCACAAGCACAGCTCCTGGATCTGCTGCGCCTCGGACTCCAGCGCTCGGTACAGCATCGGCAGGATGTCACTCTTCACTTCCTCCCCGGGGGTCAGTTTCAGCAGAAGTTCCATTTTTTGCATAAATATGAGCAGAATTTGTATGGGATCTTGAATCAACATAACGGGCTTCAGTACGGGAAGTATGTACTTCACATACTCCTCTTTGGTTGAGTTTTCTGCAATCAAAAGAACATTGGGCAGCACGAACGGCACCATGGGGGGGTTGACGAACTCCTTGCTGAGACACGGAAGGATCCGGTATATGCAGATGCGATGAGGCATTTTCTGTATAACTTGAGGAAGTCCTTTGTAAAATTGTGACTTTTGCAAATTGTCCCACTGAAATAGTGAGTCCAAATAATTCAATGTTTTCACTCCAACATCTTCAAAGTATGGAATCTGAGAACAAATTACATAAATATTATCATTTTTTAAATTGTACAAATAATTTCCTAACATACACAATAAAGTGACTAGTGTGTAAGATAACAACTAGACAACACTCTGATACTCCACTATCTCTACTGTTGGTGAAGAAATACATTATTTTTATTTTATATTTTTACACTTACTTTTAAAAACTGGTGCGGGTCCGGCCGCAGCTCTGGTGTTGTGTTCAACATAAGCTTCACATATTCCCTGAGGCCCTCCGTCACGCAGAGCAAACGGGACTGAGGAAGGTTCCTCAGCTCATTTGCAAACTTCTTGAACTTCATGTAGTCATTTCCTATATTCCCCAATGACTGATGCCCCGTACTGTGCAAAGCGTAAATCAACATACCCAGAGAGTAAATATCACTTGCGGGGGAATGACTTGCAGACAAAATATATTCAGGTGCCAGGTAGTCTAAAGCGGGTTGGGTCAATGGGTGCAGCGCCTGACAGTACTCCGTGAACGGCCAAAATGGTGCTGCACCAGGAGAACTCTGATTTGCTATGCAGAAATCAAAACCAAATATTTTCCAAGCACCTTGCTGATTCACTACTATTGATTCGGGACTTATGTTGTGGTGAAGGAGCTTTACATCATTGTGGAGGAACGCCAGGCCCTCAGCAATTTGCATCAAACCATATTTTATTTCCACTTCATACAATTTATAATTAACCATATTATTGGGAATGGGTTGAGGCATATTTTCTGTGTTGCCTAAAATATTTGCCAGGCTTGCAAAGACAGGCTCGGTGGCAAATGCGAGACTCTCTCGGCTCTCCTCCAAGCTATGCTGCACCGTAAGGACCTGCGGATGGCGCAACTTTGTAAGCTGCACGATGCCGCGCCTCAATATCTCGATCATTACATCTTTGTCGGCTTTCGTCCAACGATCGAGAAGTTTCTTTTCAAACACAAATATAGAAGCTTCTTGTTTTGTTGATTTTTTGTAACCCTTATAAACTTTCCAAAGAAGACCTAGAAATTGATTGAAAAATGGTTATAAAAAGTTGATCTACGTTAGTGTTCCTACGCTGTTTTGCAATATTTAAACTCTTTTACCTGGTCCTGCGCTTGCAATAAATTGTGTTGCTTCAAATTCTCTTGTGACAGGATTTCCTGGTAAAACTCCAGATAATTGGGATACAGTATTACTAACCGACGAATAAAACTTATTAAAAACGTCCATTTTTACTAAGAAAAACTTCACTTTCTTTTAACCAAACAAAATTCATTCATCACAAATCCCTTAGGCGATTGACATTTTGACAAAACAATGACATATGACATTGACATTCTTTTCTTGCAATAAAACAAGCAATGGACAGCAACCCAACACCGACAAACAGCATTTTTGAACGTCCACCTAGGTATATTTAAAACAATTTTTAAAAGCTTATAAGCCGTGTATTTATTTCTAAATTATCTTTAATATTATTTAGAGACCTAGATCTAAAAACATACAAAACCTATTTAGTTTGGCTGATTATCGCAGGGCATACTAACTTCAGGAATTAAGAAGTAAAAATTAAATCAGGTGAAGTCATGATGACATCTAACACTTTGACATGTTTTGTTTTTATTTTTTAAGATATTAAAATATCTACTCAATCATAACTATTACAGTGTTTACTTTGTACGTATCGAAAAACAAACATACTGTCTTATATCTGATGCAAAAACACATATGTATTAAATAGAAAAACATTGTCAATTGATGTGGAAATAATGGAACTTTTTTGAAGCTAAAATGTTGATCCAAGTAAACATCAATATCTTTTTAATATTTCTCGCTATTCCTATTGTAGCAACAGAAAGTGATCCGTATTCTAAAGAGCCATACCGACCTTTGGGTCCTCTGGTAAAATGTAACTTTTTGCCTTTGGAGTTTCTGGACTGTGACGACCCCGTAGACCACAAAGGAAACGTGTCAGCCAAGGCAGCCGTAAGTCACGGGTGTTTGAAGTTCGGTGGAGTGAGATACGAGAAAGTGGAAAGAACAAAAGTTCAGTGTAAAGTGTTAGATGGTATTGAATGTTTTGGTTCCCGCAGCTTTCTGCGTGATGGTTTTCCGTGCGTGAGATACTCTGGACATTACTTCACGACTACGTTGATATACAGCATATTACTTGGATTCCTTGGTATGGATAGATTTTGCCTTGGGCAAACAGGCACAGCAGTTGGCAAGCTCTTAACTTTGGGTGGTCTAGGTATTTGGTGGATTGTTGATGTAATTCTCCTCATAACTAACAGTCTCCACCCAGAGGATGGTAGCAACTGGAATCCTTATGTTTAAAAGACTGGTGTTAGTATAAAATGTGGTCAATCTTGGTAAAACTAGTAACTATCAACTGTAACCAAATAGAGAAAGATGTACTATAATTATTAGTTTGTGTAAATAAATAAATTTATTACTACCACATTTGTTTCAATTCTGTAAATGTATATCTTCTTGTAAATTTTACCAATTTTATTTAAAGTCAAACCCTGAAATGCCCTTCAAAGGTGTCCTCTATGATTATACTTTTGGAGGCATTCATTATATTGAGACTTTTTGGTTAACATACGTGCCATTTTTTGCTCTTCACTTGCTTAGACTGTATGAATATGAAATAAATTCTGACACTTAGGGTTCATCTGTAACTGATGCTTTATAAAGTTGTTTCGGATCAATGGAATTATAAAATCGGTGTTGTTAAAATAGATAGTATGGATGGATTGTGTGAAGGAAGATATGCGTAGGAAGCGAGTGAATTCAGATATAAATACTGACAGAGATGTAGGGAAGAGTAGTACTTCGTATGTACACACTGTGCTGATCATACTTGATAAAAAAAATGTTGAAATTTTTGCAATCAATCCAAACCCTCTAGAACTAATAGGGTGTAGCTTTACTGTTGGTATCGCCAATTTATTGTGACAAGTAGCCAAATATACTTAGCCTCTTTTTTCTTTTCCTTGATGTTGAGATTTGGCCTAAAAGACTCGTTACTGGGCCCTAAAATAAAATAAAGATAAAAATACATTAGGTGTGTTGATTTGATCTGTTCTGTCAATTTGACATAAGCAAAAATATTAGGCAAAATAATGGAATATCATTTTCTTTAATATTCATAATTTTAATGTAAACTGTAACATTAAAATATATTAATCGAAACTTGTAGATTTAGCTTTTAAAGGTAAATTTAAGAAAGGTTGTTTTGAAGATGACGACAAATGTCCGCGCTTCGGTGTCGCAGATATTGCGAAATAAAGATGAAGGTGGCGATGATGAGGAAGAACCTAAGAAAAAATCAAGAGAGGACTGGAGAAAAGCTAAGGAGTTAGAAGAAGCGCGCAAAGCTGGAACTGCGCCAGCAGCGGTCGATGAAACAGGTTCGACGAACTATAACGAACAGGCTTCAAGAGTCTGAAAAACTTCCTATCATCGTGCCCAAGCAGATCTCACAAGGCAGTAAATAGTTTTGTGCTTAATTTTCCCTTTAATATCTAAATTATCTGTTTTAGGCAAAGACATAAATCCGCACATACCTCAGTACATATCGTCCGCGCCATGGTACTATGGCACAGCGGGCCCCACACTCAAGCACCAGCGGCCGCAAGCCGACCGGGAAGGACAGTTCACTAAACTTGACACATACTACAATAAAGGAGTTGATACTGTGAGTATTGTCACTTTTGGTCTGTTCATTTGTGGTTTATTGTAATATAAAATCACATTTTAATGTTTACATTCCATTTATAATATATTATCTGTTAACAGACAAAAGTAGCAACAAAATTCAGAAAGGGAGCCTGTGAAAATTGTGGAGCATTGACACATAAGAAGAAAGATTGTCTCGAACGTCCTCGGAAGGTGAACCACTATTTGTTATAAAGTTGTATGGGGTTATGTAAATAAAAATTCCTTAAATAATCATGAATCATGTATGTTTACATCCATTTAGTATCCATTCACTTTTATATATATTTTTAATTGACAGATTGGTGCCAAATTCACTAATGCAGCAATAGCACCAGATGAGTTTAACCAACCCAACCTGAACTTGAGCTATGATGGCAAGCGGGACAGGTGGAATGGCTATGACCCTGAACAACATAAAGCTATCATTGAGGAGTACCAGAAAGTTGAGGAAGCTAAGAGGGAATTAAGGGCCAAGAAACTAGAACAGGGTAGGCTGTATTCAGAACTCAGTAATATTTTTTATAAATTTTGAGTTATTGACATAACATTGTAATATTTATATTTACTATACTTTTAGACATGTTTAGGTAACAACTTTTGTTTTCAGATCCAACAGCGACTGAGGGTGATGACAAGGAGGAGGAGGATGAAGACAAGTATGTGGATGAGGTGGACATGCCCGGCACAAAGGTACACATTGTTCAATGTATAAGAATGTACGAAGCACATAATTTGTAATTCGGCCCATTTTTAAATGTGGAGTATTATATTTCCAGGTGGACTCCAAGCAACGTATTACAGTAAGGAACTTACGTATCAGAGAAGACACGGCCAAATACCTGAGGAATTTGGATCCAAATTCGGCATACTACGACCCTAAGACTCGTTCAATGAGGGACAATCCAAACCCAAGTGCTACCGAGTGAGTAGTCTCAAACCATAAGTTTCTTGCAAAACGTGAGACAGAATGAAGAGAATCTGTGTGTGGTAGGTGCGAGTATGCGGGGGAGAACTTCGTGCGGTTCACGGGGGACACGCGGGCGCACGGCGCGGCGCAGCTGTTCGCGTGGGAAGCGCACGCGCGCGGCCTTGACGTGCACCTGCTGGCCGAGCCCACCAAGCTGCAGCTGCTGCAGCGGCAGTACGACGAACGCAAGCAGCTACTCAAGACGCAGGTCACACACCATTAACTTTGCCATTCTTACAATTACATTTGTTGGCAGCTGTATCATCGGTCGACTTTTATGTATGTATTACTGTGTCAGGTAAAAGAGTCCGTGCTGGAGAGGTATGGAGGGGCGGAGCACCTGCAGGCGCCGCCGCGCGAGCTGCTCCTGGCGCAGAGCGAGGTGTTCACGCGCTACAACCGCGACGGCACGCTCGTGCAGGGACCCGAGAAGCAGCTCGCCAAGTATGTCCTACAATACCATACCGTCAACCGATATTTTTTCACCATTGCCTTAGTTATTTTTCCATATTTACTAAAGTATGTATGAGTAATATTGAGATTAGTTGCACATAGAACAATATTGTGTCGGTGCGCAGGAGCCAGTACGAGGAGGATGTGCTGGTCAACAACCACACGACGGTGTGGGGCTCGTACTGGCGTGACGGCCGCTGGGGCTACAAGTGCTGCCACTCCTTCATAAAGGTATCATATACAACGTGTACTTTTACTTGCGACATATTATAAAAACATGGAAAACGTATTAACGTGAAACGCAGCTCGCGTCTACATCAACTTGCATATTGAATGTGAGAGTGTATGGTTGTTGCAGATGTCGTACTGCGTGGGCGAGGCGGGCAAGTCCGTGGTGCTCGACGTGGCCCCCCACAACAACAACAACCTCACAGACAACAAAGATAAAGGTAGTAGTACTTCATATTTTCGTTTTTTTTTTAATTTAAAATTCAATTGTTGACTATTGTAAAAAATATTTCAGAAAAATGCGAAAATTCATCTTCGGAATCCAGCGCCAGTAGCAGTAGTTCATCTGAATCTGAAAACGACACCAGATCTAAAACTGAGAAGACGAGTAAGAAGAAGAAAAACAAAAAGAAAGCTAAGAAGAAGAAGAAGAAAGACCAGAAGAAGGAAAAGAAAGCAGTTGATAAACTGAAGAAGGTAAAATTTAAATTTTTCATCTATGTAAGACGCATTACATACAGTTTCAAATTTTCCGTATCGGCTTATTTTCTGTAAAGAAATGGATCTGAAAGAGACTAAACGTAAACTACATTTAAATGTGAACAGGCCCTAGAGGAGGAGGAGAGGAATCAAAAGCGCGCGGAGCACCTGCTGTCGGTGGACGAGCGCAAGCGTCCCTACAACAGTATGTACGAGGTAAAGGCGCCCACCGATGACCAGATGGAGGCCTACCTCATGAAACGCAAGCGGGAAGAAGACCCCATGTCGCAGTTTTTGTAAAACTATCAGAATAAAACAGATTGACTAAGTTTACTATTTTATTTTCCTAGATGAAATTTCTAAAACTTTCTTTCACTGACCAACATACTGCAGCAGAGAATATAAATACTGCAGTACTGAATACTGAAAAAAAATAAGCGTTTGTCACAGTTTGTCACATCGAAATCGTCTTTATATTCTGTAATTTAAGTCGAGATACTCTATGAACTATACTATATTGAGTATAGGGCAACACTGTTAATTTACTAAACGTCAGATTTTGTTTCATTCATATCATGTCAATTTTATTTCCCTTTTGATAGTGGGCAGTCTGTTTAAGTTTGTGATTGTTTATTTAAATAAAACATTATGATGGCTGACGACACGACAGCCGATGCAACGAGAAGACTAAATGTTAAAAAACAGACTCTAGATGATGCATATGCAGCGCCGGCAAATTTCTTAGAAATTGACGTGGTAAACCCAATAACAACGATGGGTGTCGGAAAAAAACGCTACACCGATTATGAGGTTCGCATGAGGGTAAGTCCACGGATATTGCGACGACGACGAGTAAACACTAATTGGATTAGGCGCCCGCGCGATAGCGATACGGCCGCGCGAAGTTGGTGGGCGTCTCTGCGGCCACGGTCGAGCCATACTAAGCGCTGTCCGATTCGATAATAATTCTATCAGGACGTATTTCCTGTTCGCAGACCAACCTGCCCGTGTTCAAAGTGAAGGAGTCGAGCGTAAGACGGCGGTACAGTGACTTTGAGTGGTTGAGGAATGAGTTGGAAAGAGATAGCAAGGTGAGTGCCCTCGCGCTCCGATAGCGCTGCGATTTCGTGCGTTATCAATAAATTGAAACAAAAGTGAATCTGCTCTGACCAATTGTTTGGCACAAAGTGACTCACTAAATTCATTATAACACTAAGATGAAAGATGTGCACCATGGGCTATAAAGATAGTATTGTTATTGATAAACATTCCACACCTACAAGTCATAAACATAGCTGAATATAACGATTATATTTAATTCTTGTCAAGGAATTTGTTTCATGTTTAACTTAATCAATTCCTTAATGAATGTTTGTGTTGATGTGCAACACATTGTTGTTGTATTAGTGTTGTGTTAATGCAACAGTGTGACTTACACAATGTCAACAGTAATATAGTATATGTGGTGGGATGTCACACTATCACTTTTGTTTATATACAGATTTAAAAGTTAACAAAATAGTCTAGAATATCATGATTTTGGCCTCACTTATACTTGACATTGAAGATATTATTTTATCCAATTATCAAGTATCTTATTGTAATTAACATAATTAAAACTGTCTTGAAATGTAAAGTATAGAAGTTATAAAGAAAGTATCCTGTGTGTGTGTGAATAGCATCATGATGATGAAACACATGACTGGGTGAATGAGTAATGCTGTTATATATCTCAGTAGCACATTCATTATATATGTACATATTTACTTCAATGATAGTTATGTCAATTATTGGATCTATATATATATATATATATATATATATATATAGTCTTAGGAGTTTTTACAAGATTTATTTCAACCAAAGAGATAAAACTTTTATTAGTCTCCAAAACTATTTCTTTAATTTTAATTTTATTCAAGTTGTATTTAATTTTATTTTTTAATCAAGTCATATAAATAAGTTGCATAACTTACATGATATTTGTATAATTATAATCTATATTTTGGTGAGTCTTATAACGTGTATATAGGAAAATAAATGGGGAAGTAAGTGATAGCTGACAACTCATATTGTATTGTTTGATTGCATCATAAAAGTAATGATTTGTCCTCTAAATGGGGAAATCGAACAGAAGAAATACAGAAATGGTAAATTGAAGTGATGCGGTGTTGACACTGCTAGCTAGGCCACTAGCTACTGTATAATGAACTATTTATTGTAATACTATTTTGTTGAGTTAGCTCATTGAGTGTGATTGCAGATTGTAGTCCCTCCTTTGCCCGGCAAAGCTCTCAAGAGACAGCTGCCCTTCCGCGGCGACGACGGCATATTTGAGGAGGAGTTTATTGAAGACCGCAGAAAAGGTACTGGTTTTATAATTTTACAACTTGTTTTTTATTGTAAAACAATTACTTTAGCCATTTTATATTGTTTGGGTATCTATTTAAATGAATCTTAAGAGATTTTGATTGCTCTTTGTTATATTTTCCATTCATAAATAACACAAATATTCAATATAAGTTTTAAAAGCTAGTATATAATTGAATTATCTAACATGAAGCAAGAGTGATGTATTGCATGCATTCATTACCATTAACATATATACTACGGATGCATCCTGATCTTGTAATCCTTAAGAAGCAAAAAAACTAGGTAATAATAACTAGAGATCGTGTTGTATGAGCAGTGACGTGCGCTTGCGCAGTGCACACGCAGCGCAGCGGCAGACGACCTCACTCTCTACTGTCTGTTAATGAATATACTCAGTACTTATACATACGTACACGTGAACACATTGCATTACATTATTGAAGTTCGCGTCGGTATGTGCTTAGTTTTAGTTATAAATTGTGTGGGCGGCGTGTTGCAGGACTGGAGGTGTTCATCAACAAGATCGCCGGACACCCGCTGGCGCAGAACGAGCGCTGCCTCCACATGTTTCTGCAGGAGCCCACCATCGACCGCAACTACGTGCCCGGCAAGATCCGCAACACGTAACCGCGCCCCCCCACCACCCCACCATCCCACCACCCCACAACAACAACCACCACCATCACCACCAGCACCAGCACGCCGTCGCTGCAAGCCGCGCTTTGGCCAACGGTCTTCACTCAACACTTTCTTTGTCGCCCAATTTGTTCGCTCCACATAGTGACTTACTTTTTGGGGAAAGCAGGTGCCGTGAACTCGACTGCGGTGTTAAAGTATCTGTCTCTATAATAAATTGTAATTAATTGTATAAAAAGTAGAGTTTGTGGCAATAGAGGCCGATCTTTTAGAAATAATTAAATAATTGTGATCTATTAAGTTATATAAATGTAAGCGGTCTCCGGATGCATAATAAATATGATCGTGTGAAAGTGAGCACAGCACAGCAGTTGAGTTGTTACATCGCAGCAAGGAGTAGCAGCAGTAGTGGAGCAGCGGACACCTGCAGCGCGGCGCCGTCTCACACTCACGTCTACACAACTGTCGTAAAGTTCCCGTCCTCTACATAAATTAAAACTCAAAACCAAACTAAACCATCTTACTGAGACAAAATCATGCAGGTTAGGTGAGAGTCGCGGCGTCGTCGTCATAGTGTTTTCGAACAACATTGTACTAAAGTTTAGTAGTTATTGTTTAAAATTAAGCAATATTATTGGATTCGTTAAATTTTAATTTAAATATATTTATCACGAGCCATTGGAAATGTAAGTTTGTTTGTCTTTAATCGTGTTGCCCTACTCGAGAGGGGAGTTGATGTAACGCTTTTATATATTTTGCGCGGATAAATCTCATTCATGTATAGTTTTGCTTATTTAAGAAATTATATTTATTACGAAGAATTACTCGAGAGAGATGAAGTGGCACTGACTCGTGCCGCGTACCGCGCGCTCGTATCTCGTGCCGCGTACCGCGCGCTCGTGCCTCGTGCCGCGTACCGCGCGCTCGTGCCTCGTGCCGCGTACCGCGCGCTCGTATCTCGTGCCACGTACC